TTTTTTTTTTTTGAATTGGGATGAAGTGTTTCGTATTTTTATTTATTCTTTCAAACTTGAAGGTTTTCAAACGAATGACGCCCACTGCATCTTGAATTGCGGCTGTGCGTGACTGTTTCTGATTTGAACACCGGAGCGCCCCTGAGATCACAGCTCTTCTGAAGGCTTTATGTGCTCCTTCACGTTATTTTGACATAAGTCTGTCATCCAAAGTTGTAAGGGTAATAAAGGTCATATCTTTTATGACAAAAAGGCATGGTTCTTCACTTGTTCTGATATGAGTGAAATTTAGAGGTTGTGGTTCAAGACTCTTTTGATATTATAGTGAAGAAATGGATCAAAAGGGGGGTGAGAGTTGGAGACAAATGGTCAGGAAGATGCATCCAGCAGGTGCCTCTCTTCCTGAGGATTCACCTGAGCTTGACTATTCGATAGCTTTGGAATATCAGGGCCCTCCTGTTCCTTACGAACTGCCGAGAGTTGAGCCTCTTGATGTAGATTCCCATGGGATTCCGACAGCAGAGCCACTGTCAGAGTCACAAAGATCGGTTGGTGGTGCAGGTCTCCCAGTGATTGAACCAATTCCCTTGCCAGTGTCTTGTATTGCTGGTGTCACGAGTCCACCTGCTCAGAGTCCGAGGGTTTCAGCTAGTTCAGGATCAGTAGTGTCTGTATTACAAAATCCTGATTCTTCTTCGGCTTCCCCATCAGCTTCTCCTGCATCTGTCCGCAATCCTTCAAGTAACCCTCCACAACAAGTTGTTAACGAAGTAAAGAGAGTGCCAGTTGTTACATTTAGTACGGTTGATAGATCTGAAAGGAAAGAGGTTGATGTGGAGAAGCTAGATTACCCTGAGTATGTTGGGATTTCAGAAGAAAAGAAGAAGAAGAAGAATAAAAGAAGAGTTTGTTATCGGTGTGGTAAAGGAAAGTGGGAAACCAAGGAATCATGTCTGGTTTGTGATGCCAAGTATTGCAGCAGTTGTGTGCTTAGGGCAATGGGTTCCATGCCTGAAGGGCGCAAGTGTGTAACATGTATTGGTCAGCCAATTGACGAATCAAAGCGGTTGAAACTGGGTAAACATTCGAGGGTATTATCCCGATTGCTCAGTCCTTTGGAAGTAAGGCAGATTATGAAAGCGGAGAAAGAATGTTCTGCTAATCAGCTTCGGCCAGGGCAACTAAGTGTGAATGGTTTTCCTCTGAAGCCTGAAGAAATGGCTGAGTTACTTGGATGTCCTTTGCCCCCTCAGAAGTTGAAGCCTGGAAGATACTGGTATGACAAGGAATCTGGGCTTTGGGGAAAGGTGAGTGCATGTCTATAAGATGTTATATGAAATCTGTTATGAATTGTTCTCCACCTGACCTGCTATAATAAAATGTCAAAAGTTCTCTCGTTATCCCTTCCAGTATACCGAGCATTTATCTCTCTATTATTTGATTGGCAGGAAGGAGAAAACCCAGACAGAATTATCAGTTCAAACTTAAATTTTACGGGCAAGCTTAGCGCACGTGCAAGCAATGGGAACACTGAAGTTTATATCAATGGACGTGAAATTACAAAACTTGAGTTGAGGGTGCTGAGAGTAAGCCCTCTGGTTTGGTTTAACTAATGCACATCATCTCATTGATTATTGTTCCCATTCTGTGAGACCTTTCCTGCTATGTTTTTTTCACATTCATGAGCTCTGAAAGACACAAGTTTGTACCTGTGAAAGTTTGATTTCTCTACATTTCTCTCTTTCCTGATATATATCTTGTTTATTGTTGTAGTTGAGTTTTTTTTCCTTAGTTGATTTCTTAGAGCAAGCATAAAGTCTTTTATCTTTTGCATGGATCATGCATATCAAGTGAAGGTGGCAAAGTTTCATAAAATTGTTTTCCTCTCTTATATTGTAGCAAGTGCATCATTACTGAACTCTATTTAACATTGACAGTTGGCAAATGTTCAATGTCCACGAGATACTCATTTTTGGGTCTATGATGATGGCCGTTATGAGGAAGAAGGTCAGAATAACATTAGGGGAAAAATCTGGGAGAAGGTATGCATGTACAATTTAGAAAATTGTTGCACATTTTAGATCACAGGCTTTTATGTGACAGGGTCTGGACTTCTTTTTTGCTAGACAGGCATCAACACGGTTTTTCTGTTCCTTGTTCTCTTTGCCTGTGCCTCATGGTCAACCTCATGGAGTAAGAGATGAGACCAGCAATTATAATACTGTTCCTAATTATCTGGAACAGAAAAAGATCCAGAAGCTACTACTACTAGGGCTTCAAGGCTCTGGAACCAGCACAATATTCAAGCAGGTTTGTGTTTTTCCTTTGGTGCTTTTAATGCTCTATGGTTATTTTAATGGTTGTGGTTTATGTTGTTATTTTGATAATTTTTAGGATGTATATTGTCTGAAAGAAGTAAAACCTTATTTTGTTTTGTCACAGTTTTTCTTTATTGCACAGCTTTCCATTTTTCCTTATGGCTGCACAAGCAGAAGTAAATATGATTTTGCAAGTAAGAATGAAGAAAAGAAGGTAGAAAACTGTGTAATAATTAGATATAATCAATCAATTCGAAAATATGGAAAGAGAATTTAATGTGCCGGAATTATGCATGTCTTTAACAGCCTGACTTGACTAACAAACAATCTGCTCAGTATTGAATTTTAATGGAATATCTGCTGGGTAAATAAAAGGAGGTACGAATATTTCATTGACAACCATGTTCATTTGAACAGGCCAAATTTCTATATGGGAATAGGTTTGCCCCAGAGGAATTGCAGGATATTAAGTTGATGATTCAGAGCAATATGTATCGATACCTTAGTATATTGCTTGATGGACGGGAGCGGTTTGAGGAGGAGTTCATGTCTAGAAAGAAACGATCAGGTTCCCATGATCAAAATTCTGCAGCAGGTAGTTCTTACTAACATCATTCCAATATCTGGAAATGTATTATGCTAAAAAGAAAGTCCCTATCGGGATTCAGTAGTAACAAGAACCAAGAAGTTTCTACTCCTAAATTGTCCAAGTAAAGAAGTACTATTTTTGTGAAATAGCATGTTAAAATAATGGTTCGGATCTTTTTTCAGGTGGAGAGGTTGATACTAGTGAAACTAATCAGTGTATCTATTCCATAAACCCACGGTTAAAGCATTTTTCAGACTGGCTGCTGGACATTATAGCCACTGGAGATTTGGATGCATTTTTTCCTGCAGCAACACGTGAGTATGCTCCATTAGTTGAAGAGGTATGGAAGGATCCAGCCATACAAGAAACATACAGAAGAAAAGATGAACTTCACTTTCTTCCAGATGTTGCAGAATACTTCCTAAGCCGGGTATGTCATCCTACTCCTGTTCATACAATTTATTTGATAATCACTCTCCCAGTCTCCAGCTCATGTCTTGGGGAGTATGCATGAGCGTGCCAAACCTGGGTTCTACCTAAAAATTAACTTTCGAAGTTTTTCTTACCAAAGGAAGATTACAAAATAGGAGCTTCAACAAGCATAAATGTGAACAATGATTTGGAGTCTATATAACATGTTCTTGTTTCTCTCAGGCAGTGGAAGTGTCAAGCAATGAATATGAGCCTACAGAACGTGATATTCTTTATGCAGAAGGGGTCACCCAAGGGAATGGTTTGGCTTTCATAGAATTTTCACTCGATGATCATAGCCCAATGTCTGAAATCTACAGTGACAATCTGGAAGCTCCACCCCCACCTCTGACCAAGTAATTTCTTTATGCTCCCAGTGATTGGACATGATAAAAACAGCAAAACTGAAATAGAAGATAAATTTGTTTTAAGGAAAGGTCTTTAAATCTCCAAGCTAACTATTTAAAATCTTTTGTTCTTACAGGTATCAACTTATAAGGGTAAATGCAAAGGGGATGAATGAGGGGTGCAAGTGGGTGGAAATGTTTGAAGACGTGCGTGCTGTGATCTTCTGTGTTGCCCTTAGTGATTATGATCAAATGCGCATTGCCCCAGAGGGTAGTGGCAGTGGATCACTACTACAAAATAAGATGATTCAGAGCAAAGAACTCTTCGAGACTATGATAAAGCAACCTTGCTTTAGGGACACCCCTTTTGTTTTGATACTCAACAAGTATGACCTCTTCGAGGAGAAGCTTGCTCGGGTGGCATTAAATGCTTGTGAGTGGTTCAGTGACTTCATTCCAGTGACGACTCACCATAACAATCAGGCACTGGCTCAGCAGGCATACTACTATGTGGCAATGAAATTCAAAGATCTTTATTTTTCACTCACCAGTCGAAAGCTTTTCGTGTGGCAAGCTAGGGCTAGGGATAAGGCGACTATTAATGGGGCATTTAAATATATAAGGGAAGTTCTCAAGTGGGATGAGGAGAAAGAAGAAAACTTATATGTGGTGGAGGATTCATTTTACAGCACAGACGTGAGCTCGTCGCCATTTGTGAGGCAGGACTAATGTAATTATTCTTTTGAAATGCATCTGTATTTTCCGTAGGGGTAAAATTGTGTAAAGATTTGCTTGTGTTTGTGCTCATCCTAATAATGTCAGTTGTTTTTTCACAATACATTTGTCTTCAAATTGCCAATTCCAAAGAGAAGTCTAGTTTCATGTTAATTCCAATATCTGCAGGGTTACCTTTCCTACTTTCAGGGAGCATGTTTTTGTTTCAGAACGGAATGCGGATGAACGATGAATTAAGAATTGGAACACCCAAATGAGAGCAATCCTATTATGTAACACTACTTTAGCAAGATTTAGGGGGGAAAGATCTTTATGATCAAATGAAATTGTGAGGAAAATGTTGATGACAAGTTTATAACACCATTAGCTATATCGTGAATCTCTAACTGATATTCCAAATGTAGTTAAGAAGAACACAGTAAGAGGAGTAGGATGTTGTTTCTGATTTCCCAACATATATCCTCACGCATCATAAATGCCAAAAATGAAGTTCATGGAGCTGCTCCTTTGGAGAAAAGGATAACGAAAATCTAAAGGAAGCGTACAAAGTTGGCCCTACTGCCCACACCACTTGAGATTAGTCTCTTTCTCCTCTTTTCTAACCATTGCCTTTGTGAATTATCCAATTAAAGAAATTGTTACAAGGAGCACAAAGAAACTAAAACAAAAATTATGATGCTACAAGATCTGGCGTTTCAGCTTCAATGGATAACAAAGCAGTGTGTACTTTGTCCAGCCAATTATCCAACCGATCACGCAATGATTTGATCTGGGGAATCCCCAAAACTCTCGGTTGCACCCAGGACACATGAACTGTTCCATCCACTTGATCAATTATACCCTCGATAAGATGAACCTGCATTGGAATTCACCTAGTGTTAAAACAAGTCTCAATATATGTCTTAGTCCTGTACACAGAAAAAAGGCAAAGTCTCACAGAAAGGACAACCGCCAGTTTATGTTTATGCAAAGCTTGAAATGGAGAGGAAGAAACTAGATTTCTTCATGTTGATTATCACAATCCTATTATTCATATATTATCAAGTGTTGAACAATTGAATTGCTTTAACTAGCATATTTGCTCTCTATTTTCTAAACATATGCAATACTTTGGTTTTCCACTTCAAAGTTCACTACCAATTAAGACACAGAATCCTTCCCCCATAATCTTAGTTTTCTTTTTGTTAACCAAGACTATGCATTCACATGATAAGGGGAAAGGGAACCAAGAAAGAAGGAAAAAGAGACTTATTGAACTCACAGATAAGCTCTTCATCAGGAGATGCTCAACATCCTCAATAGAGAGCTTTGTGCGCTCAGCAATAATTTTCAGTGGAATTGTCCGATCTTCAGATGGCCGGCTGCATTGAAAAAAGTTCTAATTTAGATTACAAACTAAATTTACAAATATGAAATATCACTAGATAATTGCAAGGCTGATTGACAGGATACAACAGATGCCCACCTGAAGATGATTTCCATCAGGCAGAGAATATTAATTTTTTCCAGAAGCTTCTGCTCATTCTCAACTAATGCGGGCTGGGCCCTCAAAGCCACATTGTGCACACGACATAACTCTTGATAGCGAACCAAATCACCTGAGTTGAAAGCATGGAGAATATGGTAGAGCCACTCAACCTCGGTCCCAAGAAGACTTTTGATCTGTAGAAGACATAAGGATGTCATCACCTCATATGCATAAAAAAACTGATAAGCAGCATACGCAGTCACTAAAATATCAACCATTAAAAAATGAACTTGATATATATAGTGATATTGGAATCTACATCATTAATGCCACCAGAAATGAATAATAAAGGAAAACTTTTTAATCACTCAAATGACATGACATTGTTATAAAGCCAGCAACTTGATGTTCTTACAATAGGATGAGCAAGCAGTTCTCCAAAGTTGTAGATGTTGTCCCCCAGCAGAGCAGAAAGGGAAAGATCAAAAGCCAAATCCTACAATACCCAAAAAAAAAGTAAATAAATAAATAAATAAAATTAAAAGGTAAACTTAAATAACAGAGTTATCGATGGTTGTTTTTGAAGAAAGCTAAAAATGACATGAACAGTCTCTGCAAGGAATCAGGAAAAGGTAAAGATAGGCAATAGAAATAGAAAGTAAACTGAGTCTACATTATACTTTGATAGGAAGTTTTTTTATTGCAGTGCTTAAGACAGTTCAAGAACAGGATAATGCCATTTTCAAGCATAGTTTCAATGCCAAACATACACAACTTGATTCATATATTACAAAATTATTTTGACTGTAAATGATTAGAGGAAGGGGTCCAATGGAGAATAATTATTACAGATGCAAAAATATTACTACAGAAAATGCTGAACACATAAGAACCAAATATGTTGAAACTTCAAGCAACAGCGGATTCCTTGCCTACCATGATAAATACTTACGAGTTTAAATGAATCTGAAAGAGACTCCACTGTTGTGTATGCCAAATAAAGAAGAGCATTTTTATAAAACTCAGCAAATTCTTGGCGGTACTTATGATATTGTGATGAAACCCAATAATAGCTTGAGTATACAGTTGGGTCAATGTCAGTCATACTATCAAGTGTGCTCTTTCCATCTTCAAGAAGTTTCTTGCACTCTTTTTGGTCACCTTGCTCAAGCTTGCAGATAGCAATTTGCATCTTAACGTAAAGAACTGGCTCTTCCATGCGTTGCTCTCTAGTAGCTCTGAGCTTTTCAATGACTCCATCAAGATAGCCAACAGCTGCTTCTTTCTCTGAGTACTGGCGAGAAACTATAACAGCAAAATGGGCAAGTTTGAGAAGGTTGATTTTGGTTTCAAAGTCTGTGATGAAATTGTGATATAGTTGTATCAGAGCATCTCCAGCCTGAAATTTAAGATAATCAAGAATCAGAAAAAAGTTAGATGAACTTGGAAGTATCAACTTACTATTTGCATACATTGGGTACGTACGAACAAAGGATCAAACACAAATATAAACTGTTGAACAAACTCTGCAAAAATGAAACTCGCCTACCAAACCCAGTTCCAGAATATATGGCATATCAAAAGCAGCTGAATTCCTATAATCCTTTCCCTTGGGTATCTCAGATGAAACTACCATAAATACCCGACTTAGTTGAATTTCGAATAATGGAATGTCATAACCACCAGTAGTATAAAATTGAGAAAATGCGAGATATGTTTCTTCTCAATTCTTCAAATGACTCAGATTAAAACAGGCCCACCAAGACCCAAAAAACCCGAAAATTCTCAATTGAACCCTAAATTTACAACCAGAATCTCACTCCTTAAACTCAAAAGAACAAAGAAGACGATCTACTTAAGCAAAAACCCTAACGCCCAAATCCAAAACCCTAACTCGAAGATCAGCAAACCTTTACCACCGGGCCATGCAGCCATACAAGAGCAAGGTAATAGCAGAAACTATAGGGAAAACGTACCTGGAAAACGGCGAGAGCAACGAACTGTTCGAGCTTGAGAGTGAGCTGGTGCCAGAGCTTCTTCTGATACAGATCTGCTAGGGAATTGTACCAATCGGCGAGCTCCGGGTGGGAGTTCCGGAGAGATTCGAGGTATTGCAGTGCCGCCATCGCCCCGGATTCGGTAAACGGACTGAAAGACGGCGAAACAAAGAGTCTAGCTCAAGTGCATCGATTATTTATTTATTTATTTATATATATATGAAAACGTGAAAATCTCATTCTCTGTGTCTTGAGCTCAAAGAAAAGCAATACTTCAAAAACCTGAAAGAGAAAATAAAATGAAATAAAATAAAATAAAATAAACCGGGTCGGGTGCTTGGTTTACTGGAAGCCGGCATCACATGGGTTTATTGATGGTAGGCAGGTTTGGGTTTCCGGGTTTTTGGGTCATGTGAACAAGGTTTATAAGTTTATAGTTTGACAATATTATTTGGTGTTACTTTATAATTATAATTGTTAGAAGTATTATATTATATTATTATGAAACATATTCTAATATTTAATAATTATATTTTAAAATAACTACTTATTATAAAATTACTCAATTAGATATATTATTATTTAAAATTAAATTAATTAATAATTTAATATATAATGTATGAAAAATAATTTGAGAATTTTAATATATAAGGATGAGTCCATGACTTGCTTTTCTGCCTCTATCCTTATTTTCTATGTTTTCACTTATCTAATATTTTTTTCTTTCACCAACCAAATAATTGTGAATTCGGTAAGGAATTTGATTTTTTAAAATAAAATTTAAAATTTAAAATTTAAAATTTAAAATTTAAAAATAAAAAACTAGTGAGAGAACTTTCTTTTATAGAGTGTGATATAATTTAATTTTAAATTAATCAAAATTTAATATGGTTTTTGAATAACAATAAGTTTAATAAAAAAAACATTTACTTTTTTTTAATATAGTTGCGAAAGAAAAATAATTTTTTTATGATAAATTTGACTGTGAGTTAGGAGTTTATAATAACTCTAAGCGGAAATCTTATTTTTCTTTTCTTATTTTAGAAAAAAAAAAAACCTTTTTCAAATTTCATATTGAAACTTTTAAATTAAAACTCTTGAATGTTGGGATATTTATTAAAATTACAAAAGAATGTCATAATTCCTTTGTTATTAGTGCTGTTATCTTTTACTCTCTTATCTTGTGATTAATTGATTACCTGGTTTTAACTTAAAAATCCCAAAAGAAAATTCCCACCTAGCTTGGATGCCATGATTCAAATATCAACCATTTAATTTCTTGAAATAGAAACTATCATTAGTACTTTGATCTATAATACCTTTCCGCATAGATTATTAATTAGTTGCCGAACTCATAGGTATTAGTCATCCAAAAGAATCATAACAACTCCAGAAATTCAACCACCCCACCAACAAAAACCAAACCCAAACCGTATTAGGTCCAGCAACAAATTAATATGGGTGTTGAAAGTCATAATGATTTCCCTTTCTTTCTCTTGTGACTTCCACCTAAAGCAAAGTTATACTTAATGGCACTGCCTTTGCCTTGGGACTCTTTATAACCCCCCTACACCCCCTCAATTGTACAACTAAGGCACAAGCTAAAACCCACAATGGTGCACTTCAGGGCTTTCTCCACCTCCCTTGTTCTTTTGCTCCTCCTTTTCACCTCCTTTGCAGTGATCTGTCCTTCAGCTGCCAATGGAGTCCGTGCACTTTCAGCGGAGAGTCATGGTGGAAAATCACATCGGATGTGGAAGAAGAAGGGGCGGATGAACCATGGAAGCTTTCGTGGCCCTCGGAAGCACCTTGTCAATCCGGCTCTAGAGCATCCCTTTCAAGTCCCCGAGCTGCCTGTATAGTTTCTTGAACGCAGCTGATTTTCAAAGGAGTTTGTCTCCTATGTGTTTATGTTATTGACTTTTTCTCTGGAGAAATCAGATATTAAGTTTCCTGTGTGGGTATTTTCATTTTGTTTTTGCAAATATGTTACCTCCGGATATCAGCAGTTTATCTGCAATACTATATGTACCTCCTTGTATTGCTGCACATAATTCAGTAAACTGATTTTTCCAGTATTTGCAGTTTCTCTTAATAATTCATTGTGCTGCAGCAAGATTGTCTGGCATATGCAAAATTTTTGAAAATTAAAGAACGTCAGCAGGATGAGCTCTCTGAGCCGGGGAACTGTAGTGTGGAAAAGGGATGGCTTGAGAGGAAATCAAAGCACCATCACCATATCCATTAAGAAAAAGGCCAGACTCCTTGATACCTTGCTGGCTACACACTCTCCCTTGATGAAAGGATGAGGAGGGGGTTGACATTTTACTTTAACAAAAGGCAACATGATGTTAATTGGAAGATAAGATAACCGTACCCCACATGGGTTGAATGAAATAATTTCAAATCATTAACTGGATATATTGTCACCAGGCATACACGGAAACTTCAATGTGATTTATTGGATATACAGATTGTAAAGAGGGGAACATGAATGCTCAACTAATTATGGAAATGGAAAAGAATATGATACAATGACAACACTTTGGAACTTATACGTGTTAATTTATGCCAAGTTGAATTCCAAATAGCAGCAGGTACTGGGTTTTAGATCCCAGATGCATTACATTCTTCAAGTAGGTTTAACAAATCATGTTCAGGGGCACTTAGAGATGGCAAAATCATGCGGTTCACTTGGGTTGGCCGTTGTTTTCTTCCAGCAGCTTCAGATTCAAGGGCACCCACACCCTTCACAACTGGCAAGTCAGTTCTCAGTCTTTGGGCTGATACTCGCTCCTTCCATATTCTTCCATCCTTATGGTGGAGAAGAAACATAGTAAAACTAAATTAGGAAAGCTCTCACTGAAAAAGATTTGAAAACAATGATATAGAAGGAAGCATTTTGTATAAAATTCCACAAGAAATGAACAACATGCCTTGTCATTCAACATACAAATCTCTAACTGCAGAACTCAGATTGCTAGGACTGTTAAAAGTACTGCTTAGCAAAGAACCATCCGACTTGATCATATTAAAATTCATAGCAATATTTATACAGCCTCTCCAACCACTCAACACTTCATCATAATTATTCCAGTATCACATTCAAGGAACTTTGTTGTGGGTCCATGGCATCAAAAACATCAACTATTATTCAAAGTAAGTAAGTCACTGTGATCTACTTGGGTAATCCAAGAAAATCTAGGCCTGCTAACCGTTAACCGTTTATGTTTCACTATCACTTGCCGCGAATGTTCAGCTCAGGTGGTGAATAAAATTGACTGAATTTCCAGGTAACAAGAGGTCAGCATGTGGTGGCAATAGCTGGGAAGTTGGCATCATTTTAATTGCGTTACAAGCAGCAATGGTAGGCAGCAACAACAGTGGAGTGATATCAGAGAGGAAAAACAAAGACTGCACATTTTACAGGGGAGATCATTTGCATGATCCTAGTTAACAATATGCAGCACGATTGTGCAGCTGTTGGCAGATGGTTGATAGCAACACTTGTGTTGTCAATGCAAGTGGTGGAAAGCATGTGTCCTAGATCTAGAAGGGTGACTCCCCTGAGGTCCACGGTTTAATGGTGACTATACTGTTTTTCAAACATGTATACATTATGCCCTCAGCAAGCTAGAGTTAGGCTAAAATTCAACTGAATCAAACCATCCAAAAAACCCAGACAGTAGGACAGGCACTGCTTGCTCCTTTTTTCTGATAGAAAAGATGAAATAATAGAAGCAGCTAGGGGATGGTGCAGTTTAATGTCACAAGCTAAAAGCCTTCAGACACCCTTCACTATTAAACTTCCATATGCTACCTTAATGCCATAGAATGAAATAAATTGCCACCAAACGCTATGATTAACACATATCTAAAAGCAAAGCAAGTGGCACAATCCATGACCAACATGCATCTATAAGCAGTAGAGCAAACAATATCAGCAAATGAAAAACAATCTATAAAGCTTACATTAAGAATTGAAGGTTCAGGAAGTGGGCATTGGATTGGTTGGTCGCTATCCAAAGGCTCAACCGGATGTTCAACTGGCTTAAACTCCACGGCTACTTCAATCCCATGAGTAGAGACAGCAGTTGTAGCTGCGGTTGCAACCTCTGAATTTGGGGGCAATACTTCCCTTTCATCCTGTTCCACATATAGCTACTCATTAGGCACATAGAAACTAGAAAAAAAAAGGAACCAATTCATGATTACACAAGAATAAAAAACACGCTGATCGAAAAAAATAATAATAATAATAACAAACACCTACAAGAGATCCCCAAATTTGCATAAGGTGATGCAGTTTTAATCGCTGGATTCTATATGGAGATACAGAAATAATTTGCAATCCATGATCACTTGAACAAGAAATGGACAAAATTCCATCAAAATTATAGCTAACAGTCAGATCACTCAATATAATCAGACTTTCAAAACACATGAACTCGATTCAAGTATAGACAAGAACAGATATAAGAGTCAGCCCCTAAAGATCCCAACTTTTCCCCATATCAAATCAAGCAAAAACAATGACCGATTCAAGAAATCAATACCCAACAAAAATTATAACAAAAGAAAAACCATAGATTTATGTTCCGGAATCTAACAAAATAAAACTTGCAAAAGAAAAGCGCAGAACAAGGGTTAGAGTTCCTACAAGGGTGCTCTGAGTTCGCCGATGGCCAGCTCTACCAACAGAAAACTTCGAGAAAATACCAACCATGTCGGCCTCCCCTTTTCGAGCCTGAAATGTCGAAAACCAAGCGTGGCGATCTCAACTCTGTTTGATCTCTCCGAGATGATAAGTGTTGGTAAGGCTTGACTTTGCGTAATGGGTGTTACCTATTGGGATTATCTGGGAATTATTTAATGCAGTAGATTACAACACAAAGCATTAATTATGCTGGAAGTTGGAGTCAGTACAGAGAAAAAGTTATGTTAGCGGAATCCATTGAAGCAAAAAGAAGGCGACAGAGGAGGAGTGGGGTAAGGGACAATGCGGGAGGAGGAGATAATTGGGGGTTGGGTTTAGTTCAGGTCAAGCTTTAAGCAGAAGCTTAAAGATGGCGACTTCCATGGATGAGATATGGAGGCAGATGCGCTTAAACAAAACTGGAGGCTTTATTTTGTGTAGTGAGTTGTGGTTTTTGATCCGGACCACCGGTGGCCCACCGTCACCGCCCCAGTTTAGAAAGCTAGCCTCACGCGCCCTGTGCGTGTGTGGCCTATCAATTAATTAATTAATTAATCAATTTATTTTTTCGAACAAATTTACATTTTTTACGGTGAAGTGTCGTGTAGTTTATTAGAGTTTTTATTTTTTATTTATAAGTAATAAACTTAAATTTTTATTAGA